TTCAGCACCTCCTTGATGAGCGAGCTCTGGTTGGTTCGCGCTCCCCTTGGCGCCGAAACACCAGAATCTTGGCTGCCACTACGATCTTGGGCTGAAGATTCACCAGCTCCCGCCGAGGTGTTGCCCGCCATAGCTACCTATAACGAGGATCACTATAACGCAGCTCTGATACCAGCTTGTTGGTGTAAGGGCCTAATAAACTCAAGCTATTAGGACTTAATCAAACTTAAAACCTCTCCTCGGGGTCACCTCCAAGGGTCCCTGGGTGCCTGGTACAAGACCAGCCCTATCCTCGGGTCCGAGTTTGTAGAGAGAGGGATCAAGGAGGACTTAGTCAAAACAGCAAGAGTACCTTGAACGTCGCGCAGCGTGCCGTGCAGACCGTCGATCGGATTAAGCTGAGAATTCGCTATATCGAAGCTCGCTCCAAGAGCTTTAAAATGAGCCAAGTTGCCTCGCGAAAAGTTCTGCCATTACTAAGTTATGGCTCGGACAGCGTTTGCCTAGCGTTGGAGTGCTAGCATACTAGCGTTGACTCGGGTAGCATTCCGCCGTCGAATAGCGCAGAAACGAAATTCCAGCGAGGAAGGAATTCGCTTGAATCAATTGACTATATCCAGGTACAAACAGAGAAGGAATAAATAGCTATAGCTAGCAAGGGCCTTGGGAATCAACCTGGGAACAACCAGGGATGATCCCAAATAATTCCAAGCAACAGAACCAACCTGGCTGGACAAACAGCAGGTGGTAGGTTGGAAAACAACCTCTGGTTCTGTTTTTCCAACCTGGGAAAACAACAACCAGGTTCAGGTTAAAAAAACAGAACCTATTTTGTCTTTGCCCAACCAGCCAAATGCTGGTTCTGCTGGTTTCCCCTGGCCTTGTAGCATGCAGATACAGACAAACAACATCCAACCTTCACATAAATTGTACCCCTATAGTGCCTGCCCTGCTACACTATAGTCAACCAAACAAAACAGTACAATTTCAAGTTGGATAGAACTGAATCTGCGCAATAAATTGAACCGGGCTGCAAAGCTTCCATCTTGGGTTCCTTTGCGAGCTCTTCCTTTCTGCTTGCACTGTTCATAGCGGGTACAATGTTGTGCCGAAGCGCACATTGCGCAAGTACCTGCAAATGCTTCAAGCGAAAATTGCGAAAGCAAACAAACACACAAACACACCATTCGCACGCAAATGCATTCGCACACGCATACTCGTACAAACAGACGGCAGGATGTCGTGCAAAGTGAATTTGCACCCAACACAGTGGTCAGTGTAAACTGTAGTCTTGGCTCCCTCTAGGTAACACCTCCACGCCTTAAAGGCTGTGACTATCGCTAAGGCTTCCTTGTCTTGGATGGGGTAATTCAGTTCTGCTCCGTGTAGCTTCTTACTGAGATAGGCGATGGGTTGCAAACCACGTCCGTGATCCTGCATTAGTACTGCTCCGACTGCTTGGTCACTAGCGTCTACTTCCACCACGTAGTCTCTATCTGGATCCGGTAGGATGAGTACTGGCGCTGTAGTCAGTGCAGTCTGTAGCTGCTCCATGGCTTGCTGTTGAGGAGTATCCCATTTATAGGGCGTATCCTTTTTCAGTAGGTTGGTCAGTGGCGCTGCTATCTTAGCGTACCTGTTGTAATAGTTGGCGAAGCCTAGGAAGTGCTGCAACTCCTTCACGTTCTCCGGAACTTTCCACTTCTTGACGGCTTCGATCTTCCGCGGGTCCACGTGTACGCCCTCCGCACTCACCATGTGCCCGAGAAACTGCACCTTCTTCAGGGCGAAGTCGCTCTTCGACAGCTTCACGTAGAACTTGTTTTTCCGCAGGATCTCGAAGACTTTCCGCAGATGCTCCACGTGCTCCTTCATATTCTCTTAGAGTAAATGTGAGGATCGAGGATCGAGTTCAGAATCGAGAATGAGAATTGATTGATCACCTGGGTACAACACGAGGCTATATATAGGGCTCGACACAAGGGAGGTAACCAGGTGTTACGAGAAGGTTCTGCGGGTCGCGAAGCGTCCCGAACAGACCCTTCCCGAATTCGGTAGAAAGCAGTTCGGTGGCAACCGAATAGCTCCGAATTCGGTGTAACCTAGCACGGTGCATATAACTATATAAAATATAGGAAAGCACCTAGCCTAGGAATCAAACAATTCATGCATGCAGAAATTAAACCTAAGCTAGCAGTAGCGTAAGGTAATAAAAGCAAGCATGAATAACAAGCATAAGCCGTCGTACTCTCACACGTCCCCCCCTCAAAGCTGGGTGGCGTGAGATACACCCTGCTTGACAAGATAGTCCTTGAGAGCACGGCGTGCGTTGCCCATATCAGCTTCTGCAACCCAACTGTCCTCAGTGGGGTCATATCCCTTCCAGCGGATCAGGAACTCGAGGGTCTTGCCGCCGCGGCGCCGATGAGTGAGAACGCGCTCGATCTCATACTCTGGTTCATCCTGCACAAGAACAGGTGGTGGTGGCGGTAGCTGCCGTCCCTGGAACTGTTGGTTGGGGTCCTTGTAGGGCTTCAGTAGCTGAACATGGAAAGCGTTGTGAAGCTTCCACGTATCTGGTAAGCGCAAGCGGAATGTAACTGGTGTCACCTGTGCCTCCACGAGAAATGGACCACAGAAGCGAGGCCGGAGTTTGGATGGTAGGTGAGACAGGTTCAAGTTGCGCGTGTCAAGAAGCACCTGATCTCCGACTGCTACTGAGTGATCTCGTCGCGGGAGTTCTGCATCGTGGTGAGACGCCGCTGAGTCTTCTCCCATAGCTGCTGCATGGTGGTGACGAAGTCGTGTGCGGCCTGGACGTGTGCCGGTATGGTTGGTGTTGGTGTAAGGGCCTAATAAACTCAAGCTATTAGGACTTAATCAAACTTAAAACCTCTCCTCGGGGTCACCTCCAAGGGTCCCTGGGTGCCTGGTACAAGACCAGCCCCTATCCTCGGGTCCGAGTTTGTAGAGAGAGGGATCAAGAAGGACTTAGTCAAAACAGCAAGAGTACCTTGAACGTCGCGCAGCGTGCCGTGCAGACCGTCGATCGGATTAAGCTGAGAATTCGCTATATCGAAGCTCGCTCCAAGAGCTTTAAAATGAGCCAAGTTGCCTCGCGAAAAGTTCTGCCATTACTAAGTTATGGCTCGGACAGCGTTTGCCTAGCGTTGGAGTGCTAGCATACTAGCGTTGACTCGGGTAGCATTCCGCCGTCGAATAGCGCAGAAATGAAATTCCAGCGAGGAAGGAATTCACATGAATCAATTTGACTATATTCAGGTACAAACAGAGAAGGAATAAATAGTTCTAGCTAGCAAGGACCTTGGGAATCAACCTGGGAACAACCAGGGATGATCCCAAATAATTCCAAGCAACAGAACCAACCTGGCTGGACAAAATAGCAGGTGGTAGGTTGGTAAACAACCTCTGGTTCTGTTTTTCCAACCTGGGAAAACAACAACCAGGTTCAGGTTCTAAAAACAGAACCTGTTTTGTCTTTGCCTAACCAGCCAAATGCTGGTTCCGCTGGTTTCCCCTGGCCTTGTAGCATGCAGATACAGACAAACAACATCCAACCTTCACCTAAATTGTACCCCTATAGTGCCTTCCCTGCTACACTATAGTTAACCAAACAAAACAGTACAATTCCGAGTTGGATAGAACTGAATCTGCGCAATTAACTCAACCGAACTGCAAAGCTTCCATCTTGGGTTCCTTTGCGAGCTCGTCCTTTCTGCTTGCACTGTTCATAGCGCATACAATGTTGTGCCGAAGCACACATTGCGCGAGTACCTGCAAATGCATCAAGCGAAAAATGCGAAAGCAAACAAACACACGAACATTCCATTTACACCCAAATGCATTCGCACACGCATACTCGTACAAACAGACGGCAGGATGTCGTGCAATGTGCATTTGCACCCAACAGTTGGCTGCTGTGGGGTGAGTGGTTCCCGTCCGTAACACAGGAAGAAAGGAGTTTTCCCTGTGGCCGCATGCGAGGCGTTGTTGTAAGCGAACTCTAGGGTCGGTAACTGTGTGTCCCAGTGGCTGACGTTATCTTTGCAAGCTGTGCGCAGTAACTGTTCAACCACCTGATTGAGTCGCTCTGTCTGTCCGTCAGTCTGGGGATGGTATGCTGAAGACATCGCAAGCTTAGTCCCCAACAGTCCCATAAGCTCCTTCCAGAACTTACTCGTGAATTTTGGGTCTCTGTCTGAGATGAGTGTAGCGGGGATGCCGTGGATGGTGATGATGCGGTTGAAGAAGAGGCGAGCAGTTGCTTCAGCTGTGGCTGTGGCGTTGGTCGGTATGAAGTGACCCATTTTTGAGAACTTGTTGATGACTACGAGGATGGAATCGTGTCCCCGTGAGGTCGAAGGAAGTCCTGTGATGAAGTCGAGACTAACGACCTGCCATGGTTGCTCCGGTACGGGTAGAGGCTGAAGTAACCCTGCTTTCTTCTGCTTACTACTCTTCATCCGCTGGCACGTGTCGCAAGAGGTGACGAACTGCTGCACGTCTACCCGCTAACGTCTTGTTGCTCCCGAAATGTCCCGCGTATGGTACGTCATGAAACTCCTCTAACAGGATCTGCCGTAGCGGGGCGTAGTTCGGTACCCAAATCTTCCCTGAACCCTTCCTTACCGCTAAGTCTTTCTTTTCCTACTGTAACAGCTTCTGTTTCTCTGCTGTAGCGATCTCGCCGTCCACGGAGTACCCATGCTGGAATAGACCCTTGAGCAGAGGGTTCATCCCGTCGAGTTGGATGCCTGCTACATGACCTGGGCGGCTCAACGCGTCTGCTTTGTTGTGGAGCCCGGGTTTGTAGACGATGTCGTAGTGGAAGTGAGTTTCCAAGAAATCCACCCACCGCACCTGTTGTCGTGAAAGTGTCGGCTGCGACTTCAGGTATTTGAGACTGCAGTGGTCAGTATAGACTGTGGTCTTGGCTCCCTCTAGATAACACCTCCATGCCTTGAAGGCTACGACTATAGCTAGGCCTCCTTGTCATGGATTGGGTAATTCAGTTCTGCTCCGTGCAGTTTCTTACTGAGGTAGGCGATAGGCTGTAAACCGTTCCCGTGATCCTGCATCAGTACTGCTCCGACTGCCTGGTCACTAGCGTCTGCTTCAACTACGTAGTCCTTGTCAGGGTCCGGTAGGATGAGTACTGGCGCTGTGGTCAGTGCTGTCTGTAGCTGTTCCATGGCTTGCTGATGAGGAGCACCCCATTTGAAGGGCGTGTCCTTTTTCAGTAGGTCGGTCAGTGGCGCTGCTATCTTAGCGTACTGCGGCATGAACCTGTTGTAGTAGTTGGCGAAGCCGAGGAACTGCTGCAACTCTTTCACGTTCTCCGGAACCTTCCACTTTTTAACAGCTTCGATCTTCCGCGGGTCTACGTGTACGCCCTTGGCACTCACCATGTGCCCGAGAAACTGCACCTTCTCCAGTGCGAAGTCGCTCTTCGACAGCTTCACGTAGAACTTATTTTTTCGCAGGATCTCGAACACCTTCCGCAGATGCTCCACGTGCTCCTTCATGTTCTTGGAGTAGATGAGAATGTCGTCCAGGTACACTACTACGCACTCGTCCAACAGGGGCCGTAGGATGTGGTTCATCTCCGCCTGGAACGTCGCTGGTGCGTTGCAGAGTCCGAACGGCATCACCAGGTATTCGTAGGAGCCGTATCGCGTACGGAACGCCGTCTTGTGGATCGAATTGTCCGCCATCTTGATCTGCCAGTAACCCGACCGTAAGTCCAGCTTCGAGAAGACTGTTGCACTACGCAGTTGGTCCAGTAAGTCGTCGATGCGCAGTATGGGGTATTTGTTTTTGACTGTCTGTTTGTTTAGTGCGCGGTAGTCGATGCACATTCGTAAACTGCCGTCTGGTTTCGGTGTGAAGAGAACTGGTGCGCCGTAGGGAGAGGTGGATGGTCGGATCAGTTGTCTGTCCAGTAGATACTCAATCTGTTTTTTCATGTCTGTCAGCTCGGTCGGACTCAGTCTGTATGGTGCGCGTGAGACGGGTTTCGCACCTGGTTCCTCCACGATCTCGTGCTCGTGGGTGCGTGCAGGAGGTACGCTTGTAGGTAGGTCGTCGGGCATGATGTCTTTGTACTGCTCCAAGACCTCTTTCACTGCTGCGGGTAGCTCGGAACCCGGTTTCACCTCTTCTGCTGCTGCCATGACCAGTGCTAAGTAACCCGTGTTGCTCTCGTTCACCGTCTGTTCGAACCGTGCCAGTGTCGTTTCAGGAATGTCCCCTGTATCCGTCCAGCTTCGCAATGCTATCCGCTCCCCGTTGTTGTAGATGCACACTTTGCTGTTGACCCAGTCGATCTCGGGGTTGAACCGCTTCAGGAAATCTCGCCCCAAGATGAAATCTAAACCCTTGATGTTGGTAACAGGTAGCTTCGGCTTCCATCTCAACGCACCTATGTGCAGCTGCAAGGTTGCTTCGCCGTGGATGGGAAGCTTCGTACCGTCCACCATGGTTGCTGAAAACTGGGTCTTCTTCGCCTTCTCTCCAATTTTCTCCAATGCTCCGCGGTCACATACTGAGTGAGATGCACCGCTGTCCACCATTGCCTGGAGGCGTCGCCCATTGCATAACACCTCAAGGAGTAGTGGTTTCTGCTGCGCTGAGTAGCCAAAGAGGGTCTCATTAATAGGATCATAGGGTACATCAAAATGAATACCTTCCCTATTTCCTATACCTGACTCAGCACTTTCTGACTTCACCTGAGGGGTAGGAGGATTTTTCCGAGGCTTGTATAATTTCTCCTGAGCCTGGATGTCTCCTCTAAGCCTTTGCAGCTGTGTAGGCTTCACCTGTGGGCAACGGGGAGCCTTAACACCATGCTGCGGGGAGAGAATATTAACACCACGGAACGCACGACCCTTTTCTACGCTCCGTAATACTTTGCCCATATTTGTAGGTACCTGAATAATTTCTAAAGGCTTTTTCTTGGCCTCTAACTCTCCCCTGAATTTTTCAAAGGCTTGAAAACCACGAGAAGCAATATTTTTCGTTAGAGTATCTTTATAGGATACTTTTAACGAATTCTTACTTTCGTGGGGGTCCGGCTGGAGTTTCCTGGTCGATGTAGAGTCTTTTTTCGCGGAGCCACCAGTTGCCTCGGCGATTTCCCCTGATGCCGGCCGGTCGTGACGTTTTATATTCGCGCCATCATTTTCTCCTTTTTTCGCCCGCTCCGTAGTCGCCACGTCGTCGCCCTTTTTCGCTTTTCGGATCTTTACGCGATCGCCAGTTAAATCCGCGGCTACTGGCGATTCCCGTTTTTTTACTTCGGGGGTGCTGCACTGTTACCGCCCTGCATGATCGCACGTACTTTCTTCATTTTGTAGCACGACAAAATCTGATGCCCTGCTGCGCCGCAAAATTCGCATTTGGTCGGCTGCTGCTTCGCGTCGATTTTGTCGATATCCATCGGTTCGGCGAACGTGGGGGGTGCCGATCGCTCCGTGCCGAATGTACGGTTCGGCCCGAAACGTCGTGTTTCGGGTTGACTTCGTGTTAGCGCATCGTAACGCTCGGCTGCACGCACGATGTCCCTGTAGCTGTCGTAATTCATCGCGATCACCTGCCGCCGAATCTCCAATTTTAACCCTTCCGTGTACGCCTGGATTTTTTCGCCTTCGGTCAGGTCGGGGATGCGGGTGAACAGGAGCTCCATCTGCTGCGTGTACTGTGCTACACTACTGTACTGCTTGTGCCGATGAATTTGTTGCCGCGCCATGTAGGTGGTATTAATTGGTTCGAAACGCCCGATTAATTCTGCCCGAAACTGCGCCCACGTTTTCTCCCCGCGGGCCACGTCAGTATTGTAGATCCACTCGAGTGCTGGTCCGCGTAACAGTGTCGCTGCGAGCCGGATTCGTGTCGCGTCGTGTGTCGGGGTCGAACAGCCAATGGCCTCGAAGTAAATTTCGAGGATTGCCACGAAACGCCGGACGTCGGATCCCTTCGCGCTTGGATCGAACGCTTCCGGGAGTACACGTCATCCGGTACATGAGGCAGCCCGCCAGCTCTGCGTAGGGACCACTGGGCTCGAACGGCTCGTCAGGAAAAGGCCCAGTGAGTCTGTGGTCTACAGCAAGAGGGGTGGGTGTAGGAGAAGAGTGCTGAAGCCCGAACCGCTGAAGGACCTGCTGCACCATGTGTGACTGAGTCAGAGTGATGGTGTGAGCGGCTCTGTCCCTGGAGATCTGCAGGCCAAGGTAGCGGCGCAGTTCCCCAAGGTCAGTGCAGGTGTGTCTCTTCTGCAGTTCGGACTTCACCTCCGCCAGTGCAACTGTGTCGGCTGTGGCAAAAACCAGGTCGTCAACGTAGACGAGAACGAAGAAAGGTGTGCGCCCACGACGAACAAACAGCGACGGGTCGGCGGAAGACGGCTCAAACCCGAGGTCGGAGAGAGTAGAGCGGAGAGTGTCGTGCCACTCACGGGGTGCCTGGCGGAGACCGTAGACCGGTCGTCTGAGGCTCCACTGGGTCCCAGGCGGGAAAGTGCCAGTGAAGCCCGGAGGACGACGCAGCCAGATCTCCTCGTGTAGGCGGCCCTGGAGGAAGGCAGTGGAGAAGTCGAGAGAGTGTAGCTCGTAGTCTCTCTGCGCTGCTACGTGCAGTAACACCCGAAGAGTGGTCATCTTCGGGGTGGTTGGAAGGTCTGAAAGAAGTCAACTCCCTCACGCTGACTGAACCCTCTAGCCACGTAGCGTGCCTTAAAGCCTGGGGGAGATCCCGGCGGCCGCTTCACCTTGAAGATCCACATGTCGTCAACGATGTTCGCCCCTGGGGGGGGAACCTCGTCAACGTAAGTGCCTGTGGACCTGTAGGAGGCCATCTCTGCGTCCATGGCAGCTCTCCACTGAGAGGCCCAAGGCCCTGACATTGCCTCAGCGTAAGTGCGAGGAGTAGGTATGTCAGGAGCGTCGGGGTCTCCCTCAGGAGCGAGGAGCATGGCACAGAGATGAGGCGAAGCAGCTGCCAGGAACTCTAGCTCAAACTGTCTGTCCTCTAGGACGTCACAGCTGTTGGGTGCAAATTTACATTGCACGACATCCTGCCGTCTGTTTGTACGAGTATGCGTGTGCGAATGCATTTGGGTGTGAATGGAATGTTCGTGTGTTTGTTTGCTTTCGCAATTTTTGCTTGATGCATTTGCAGGTACTCGCGCAATGTGCGCTTCGGCACAACATTGTACGCGCTATGAACAGTGCAAGCAGAAAGGACGAGCTCGCAAAGGAACCCAAGATGGAAGCTTTGCAGTTCGGTTGAGTTGATTGCGCAGATTCAGTTCTATCCAACTCGAAATTGTACTGTTTTGTTTGGTTAACTATAGTGTAGCAGGGAAGGCACTATAGGGGTACAATTTAGGTGAAGGTTGGATGTTGTTTGTCTGTATCTGCATGCTACAAGGCCAGGGGAAACCAGCGGAACCAGCATTTGGCTGGTTAGGCAAAGACAAAACAGGTTCTGTTTTTAGAACCTGAACCTGGTTGTTGTTTTCCCAGGTTGGAAAAACAGAACCAGAGGTTGTTTACCAACCTACCACCTGCTATTTTGTCCAGCCAGGTTGGTTCTGTTGCTTGGAATTATTTGGGATCATCCCTGGTTGTTCCCAGGTTGATTCCCAAGGTCCTTGCTAGCTAGAACTATTTAATCCTTCTCTGTTTGTACCTGAATATAGTAAAATTGATTCAAGCGAATTCCTTCCTCGCTGGAATTTCGTTTCTGCGCTATTCGATGGCGGAATGCTACCCGAGTCAATGCTAGTACGCTAGCACTCTAATGCTAGGCAAACACCGTCTGAGCCATAACTTCGTAATGGCAGAACTTTTCGCGAGGCAACTTGGCTCATTTTAAAGCTCTTGGAGCGAGCTTCGATATAGCGAATTCTCAGCTTAATCCGATCGACGGTCTGCACGGCACGCTGCGCGACGTTCAAGGTACTCTTGCTGTTTTGACTAAGTCTTTCTTGATCCCTCTCTCTACAAACTCGGACCCGAGGATAGGGGCTGGTCTTGTACCAGGCACCTAGGGACCCTTGGAGGTGACCCCGAGGAGAGGTTTTAAGTTTGATTAAGTCTTAATAGCTTGAGTTTATTAGGCCCTTACACCAACAAGCTGGTATCAGAGCCGCGTTATAGTGATCCTCGTTATAGGTAGCTATGGCGGGCAACACCTCGGCGGGAGCTGGTGAATCTTCAGCCCAAGATCGTAGCGGCAGCCAAGATTCTGGTCTTTCAGCGCCAAGGGGAGCGCGAACAAACCAGGGCTCGCTTGTCAAGGAGGTGCTGAAGAATTTCACCGTCGAGAAGTTCAATGGTGAGGGCTATGATGATTGGGCCTGGAAAATGCAATTATATTTCCGTCAGATCGGTTTGCTGAAACTAATGATTGGGGAGGAGCCTAGACCGAGTGACCCCACGCTGCAGGAAGATTGGGACGAGCGCTCCTCGGCTGGCTACTATTTGATGTCGCAGAGTTTGGAGCTGAACCAGCGTCACCACGTCATGCACCTGCTGCCGGAGGTTGAATGCGGTCCGAAGGCGTGGACCGTGTTGAAGGAGCTGCACGCCCCGACCTCCGTTGTCGCAACGTTGATGCTGGAGAGGGAGCTGTCCGCGTTGCGCCTGAGCGAGGGAGAGCCGGTGCAACCAGTCCTGGACAAGATGCGCGACCTCTACGCGAAGTTGGCGACCGCGGGAATCACCTACCCGGAGCAGACCAAGTGCTTGAAGATGCTCTCGCTGCTGCCAGAATCGTGGCTTCAATTTACGAGCGGATTGAGCCTGCCGCAGAACCAGAGCTTGTGGACGCTCGAGTGGGTGCGGACGAAGATTCTGGAGGAGGACTTCCGTCGCCGCCAACTGAGGGGTGGAGACGACGGCAGCAGCGGCTACGGGATGCAAGGGAGCCGACGTGGCAGAGGACGTGGCTTCGGTGGTGCTGGACGCGGTGCAAAGAAAGACGACGACTCCAACGACCAACAAGGAGGTACCGGTTGGGGTCGCGGTGCGAAATCTGGACGTGGGGGCAAGTCGGGTGCTGGTGGCAAAATGAAAGGGAGTTGCTGGTATTGTGAGAAGGAAGGGCACCCCTGGTTTTTGTGCTATAAGAAACCCGATGGATGGACCCCCCAGAATCGTCACCAGGATGGCGGCGCGCGGAGGAACCAGAAAAACGGCGCCAACATGGTCGCTGATTCGTCCGACAACAACCCGAAGGGCAACGGCGGTGCGGAGAAGAAGAAGGAGCGCACCGCGGGCCAATTCTTCCATGTGGGAGACAAGGGGGAGCAAGGAGACGCCTCTGCCAAAGTTGGAGCAGAGCTGCACCCCCTAGACTATTGGGTGTTGGACACAGGCGCTGCTTGGACGATGACGCCGCGCAAGGACCTGCTGGACGAAGTACGAGCTGCACCGATCAATGAAGTGTGCTCCGCCTCTGGACACATGTTGAAGGTGGCTGGTGCGGGACGAGCTGCGTTTAAGGGAGCGGATGGCAAGCCGGTGGTGCTGCACGACGTTCTCTTCGTCCCCGACCTGAAGGCCAACCTTATCTCCCTCCGTAAGCTTGGCAAGGCTGGGGTGAACACCAACACGGATGGGGCACGCACTTATAAGGGGAAGCTGGGCAATCGGGTGCTTTGGGATCTGCACGAGAGCAAGGACGTGTACAGATCTATGTGGCAGCTGCCGGCCCTGGCGTGGCATGGTGGGGGGCAGGCTGGAGAGGGGTCTGCATCCCAGGGGGAGTGCAATGCCGTTGGAGGGGTTGGTGTGAAAGTGTCGGCCAGATCTGGGGAGACAGATTGGGCAACGGCACACCGGCGCTTAGGGCATGTGGCAATGCCTTTGCTGAAGCAGCTGGAGAAGGATGGAGCCGTTAAGGGTCTGAAGCTGAA